CTTACAATATTGAGGGTGATCCAATTTCCTTTAGAGATGCAATGGCCACGTCTGAGGCCATGTATTGGAAGGATGCCATTAAAAGTGAAATGGACTCCATTGTTCAAAATGGAACATGGGAGCTTGTTGATCTTCCTCCCGGGTGGACTACTATTGGATGTAAATGGATTTTTAAAAAGAAGCTAAAACCAGATGGAACCATTGATAAATATAAGGCCAGATTAGTTGCTAAGGGTTATAAACAAAAAGAAGGTATTGATTTTTTCGATACATATGCTCGAGTTGCAAGAATGACCACAATAAGAATGCTTATAGCATTGGCCTCCGTATATGGTCTTAAAATTCATCAAATGGATGTTAAGACAGCTTTTCTTCATGGTGACCTTGAAGAAGAAATTTATATGGATCAGCCTGAGGGATTTGTGGCAAAAGGCAATGAGAGAAAAGTTTGTAAATTAGTTAAGTCTTTATATGGACTTAAGCAAGCCCCTAAGCAATGGAACGAAAAATTTGATAAAATAATTTCTTCGTTTGGATTTACTCTTATAGATGCTGATCAAAGTGTTCATTATAAATGTAAAGGTGATATAAGTATTATTTTATGCCTATATGTTGATGATATATTATTATTTGGCATTAATGATAATATTATTTTTGAGACTAAGTCATTTTTGAAAACAAAGTTTGAAATGAAGGATATGGGGGTGGCGGAAGTAATTCTTGGGCTAAAGTTGACTAGATCAACCAAAGGCATTTCTATTTCTCAGTCTCATTATATTGAAAAATTAATTGAGAAATTTGGATTTAAAAATAATAGAATTGCTAAAACACCCTATGATCCTTCTGTAGCTTTGTATAAAAATGAAAGTGGTGTTCCTGTGTCTCAATTAAAATATTCTCAGATGATTGGTAGCTTGGGTTACTTAGTTAACTGTACTAGACCTGATATTGCATTTTCAGTGTCTAAACTTAGTCGGTACACATGCTGTCCAAACAGAACTCATTGGGAGGCTTTAGATAGAGTATTCAGATACTTGAAAGGAACTATTTCCTTGGGTTTGCATTATGGTAAATATCCTCCTGTTCTTGAAGGATATAGTGATGCAAGCTGGATAGCTAAAAACTCTGGGAGTTATGGCTGTACCGGGTATGTGTTTACGTTTGGAGGTGGGGCTGTTGCTTGGAATTCCACCAAACAAACTGTACTTTCTCGGTCTACTTTTGAGGCTGAATTATGTGGAATAATTCAGTAAGCCAATTCCACCTATTTGTTTGCATTGTGATAGTATGAGTACAATTGCAAAAATTAGGAGTACCAAGTATAATCAAAAGACTAGGAGACACATTCAAGTTAGATTAAAAACTATAAGGAAATTTGTGTCTCAAGGGGTGTTTGCTATGTTGATTTTGTTGGATCCAAAGATAATACAATGGACCCGTTAACAAAAGGACTTGATTTAAATCAAGTGATAAAATCAAGGTTAGGAATGGGACTGAAACCCAATAATTATTCATCTACGGTAGCAACCCAACCTATCTGAGTGGAGATCCCATAAAGTAGGTTCAATGTGGTATAAACAAACCGTAGAGTGAATTGTGCATCTCATTAAAATAATTTGATGAGTTCTATTCCTTGTTAAGCCTTAGAGATGCTAAAATTGCTAAGTTAGTAAGAGTTCAAGACTCTGAATGGGATCAAGCTTTAATGGCAGAGTGTTAGCAATGCACTCTTGGAGATGCCCAACTATGAGAATGTTATTGTGTGCCCGCAATAAGAGAATGTGGGTTTATTCTTGATGACATTCTTGAGACAGGATCGGACGCACGGTCGTAAAGCGTCACCCCTATAGATCGTTGTCATCGCCGTTAGTGTGTTACTCTTATCCCACGCCAACACAATCAAGGTTCGAGTTCAAGAACTCCGTTCACTCAGTTCCTGTGGGGGTTAGGGGTAAGAACTTAGAATTTGGTTCAAACCGGAAGGTACCATATTTGAAAGCACACTATGTCTTAGATTTGAGTCTACAACTATGGATTTGTGGGGGATTGTTGGAAATATGATGAAATAAATTATTTTTGAATGGTCTCATTTTGAGTCCTGAAATATGTGTGCAATATAAATATATGTAATGAGAGTGGCTTATTATCAAAGTACAACTTTCATACTTGGATTTATTTCATTTGGTGAATAGAATCCATAGTTGTAAGAGTTGTAAAGTGAAATGTTAAAATGGTGAATTATTGTCCTATATCTTAAATAGATGAAGAAAAAAAATTATGTGATAAGGAATATCATTCAAGTATCATGTAAGACGGCTTAAAATATTATTCCATACTCTTGGGCCCATTCGTTATGATAAAATTGTATGGAAAATATTTCAAGTCAAAAGACTATTTAACTTATGGACAATAATTCTGAGATGTTTCATTATCTTAATAAGATAACAAACGGTAGCTCTAACAAAGCTGTTATAGGACTTTTTCAAAATTGAATTTGGATAGCCCGGTTTTATTATCTCTTTAATATAGATGATAAATAGCAGCCTTAAAGCTGGTTTTGGATGTTTCAAAAATTGAATTTGAATTGTCCGATTGCAATAAGCCTGGTCAACCTTTGTTTAAGGATCATTAATATTAGATCGTGGAACAAACGTTACACTCCATTCATATGTTTGTATTCATTCTGATTTTCAAATACATATGAACCCACTGCATGCTTCTTTAATACATCATTCGTGGAGTAATAGATATGCATAATGCATATATATGCCACTGCACGTATAAAGAAAACGTCCTGGGAGAAAAATCAAATTCTTTAATTTTCTCTAAGTGCGAACACACTTGCTGTGGTCTGCATATTTTCTTGTCTTCAAGGAATTTGTTTCTTCCGTTTCGAGAGCATAAAATCCATAGCTTCTTTCGTTGAGTTTCTTCACTTTCAAAAGGCAAATTGGGCAACGGTCGAAGGTTTCAGTCAAGGTAGCTACGAGTCTGAAGCGTGGTAGGATTATCCTGGGAGCGAGCTAGCCAGACCCGTCCGAATAGCTATCGGGATACGGGGGCTATCTTTCTTCAAGACCAGTCCGTTTTTACGGGCGATCCTGCGATAAGTTTTCTTATCCTTTTCTTCATTCAATTTAATGTATTCTAATTATTATTATTATTATTTTTCTTTTCTTGCATTTGGCGGTTTGTCTGGTGATTTGTTTAAACTCGGGATTTTTATCTGGTTAAACTCGCATTTTAATACTCCCTCCGTCCCGTTGGAATGTTCCCGTTCACTATTCATTGGTCAACTTAGGTCACTCCTAATCTTTTACTTTATATATCAAATTTTTATCAAATTGAACTTTTCTTGATCAGGCTTTGTTGCAGTTTTAATGTAGTTTCTAAATATGTAAATTTTATTTACTAAAAATAAGCGGAGTGTGAACAGGGATCGAGTTGCTTTATCGTCAGTCAAGCATCGTAAACCGAACGGGAACATTCGAACGAGACGGAGGTAGTATCAATTTCTCTATCACAAATGTGCTAGGCGCACCCACTTTTCTCAATGAATGGACGAATGTGTCCTATGAAGCACCCGTATTTTACTACTCCGAATGCATTAGTTACTCCAGACTCAACGTGTGCATTAGTCATGCCGCATTATTCTTTTTTCCTTAAAAGTTTGATTTCATACTACATATTTCCTTAATCTTTTTTCTAACTTTGTTTTTTTAATTATAAAAAACGACTTTTATATTAAAACCAACAACTTTTGGATAAATTTTACAAATTCAATCATGTTTCAGCACCATATTGATAGGGGGCGGAAAATTAACCAAATTATCAAATTGGTAAAAAAAGAGGGTAATCTCACAGATTTGTAAAATAACCACTGGAGACATATTGTTAAAAAAGAATCTCTAATGATAAATTGGTCAATTTTTTGTTAGAAGGTAAGGGTCAGATTGGTACTCGAAATTGCATAAAAGGGGTCAAATAAGTCCTTATATAGGAGGCTTTGTCGATCTATCGCCATTTGAGGCGGTTTCCGATGGAATTTTTTGACGAATTTTTTTGAACATCTTATCCATTAAATCTAGTTTACTCATACCGAATTTCAGCTAAAAATTCAACCGAGAAGGCATTCAAATGAATTCTTGAAGATAACTGCGCAGTTATCTTCAAGAATTCATATGAATGCCTTCCCGATTGAAGTTTTAGTTGAAATTTGGTATGAGTAAACGAGACTTAATGAATAAGATGCTCAAATATTTTTATCAAAAAATTCCACCGGGAACCGTCCCAAATTGCAACGCCGGACAATAAGGACTTATTTGACCCTTTTTATGAAACTTTCGATCCTCGAATTTAGAATTTCAGACATTTAATATTCTAAATATTGTGAAATTGACATTTGCAGTCCTTTTATTTTGTCATCAAAGAGGAGGTCTAAAATTGTCAAAGACCGTGTTTGATAATATTTATTGTTTGCTAGCTCATAGCTGATTGAATCAACAAATTGATATTAGCGGATTCTATTAGTTTTTTTAAGTAACCGCTTTCATTAGCGGTTTGAAATAAAATGTTAGTAATAACTTAAAATTTGCAATTAGATTTTCATACATAAAATGACCAATAAAAAATAAATTTAAAAGTTTACATGTTTAAATTAATTTTATTTTTAATAAGTTTTGGAAAAAAAATTGATAATTATTTGGATTGAGAATCGTGAAAGATGACAGCTTTAAATATAGTCTATGGCTTAATGAAGGTTTGAACTCTAAAAGGTGGCAATTTTAATTAAGGAATACGGAGTATCTGCAAGAGGACAAATTGGTCTGATCAAGGTTAGATTAAGTAAAATTAGGGGTGCATAAAGCAACACCCCTTTAATATAAGGCACTTAAGTTTACCAAAATTTATCTAAACCATGACACAAAATATGGAATTTTCTTCAAGATCCCACAATTTATTTATCTTTAAATTCACATTTAATTAAATTGAAGCTGGTCGGGTAATTCAAATGGAAAAAGATGGAGAAATTGGAGACATGTACTTGATATATAAATGGGAATTAAAGAAGGATGGTTCCATTCTCTAGCTCTTTTTGTTGTGAGAGCTATCAAATTACACAACTTTGTACACACATGCATCCCTCACTAATTATTTATACGGACTAATAATCTAAATTTGTGCACAAATCCACAATTTCCGAGCTAATCTCCATGGCCTTTGCACATAATTGTTTAGCTCGAACTGGGATAGTTTGCAAGCAATCACCACCAGATGTGCCTACTATACCATTACATCTATCCATCCTTAATTAATTATTACTATAATCATTATTAATAACGGTCAAAGATCCAGTTGTAGTAGGGTCATCAGATAGTTCGTCCGAGGTTGTTGTGGTTCTTGTTGGTCTTTCGCCACCTCCCTTCAATCCTTGAGCAACCAGGCCAAGCCATGGCGGGTCGAAGAGTCTCATAAGCTCTGCAAACATTCTTTGGAGACAAAGAGCGATATTGCTCAAGGATTTAACCTCGGTGATCAACGACAACTGTAACGAGTACATGGTCCTAGAGGTTTCGACAATCCTACGTTCCTCCGATATCAAGATCCCGCCACCGCGCTTTGCTTGCAAGCTTTGAGATGTAGAAGAAAGGCACATTCTTGGCTCTTCTTCGTTTATCGACATTCCCTCGTCCTTGCGACTTTCGGGTGTAGTGTGGCAAGGAACATCGTCTTCTTCTTTTTCTTCTTCTTCTTTGTTCTTCAATGTCTCCTTGAGTAATGTGCTGTTTGAAATCATCATTGTTGTTTCTCTTTGGGACAGGTTGAGCTGAGAGATAAAGCAATCCAAGGCTTCTTTCATCCAAGGATGGAAGCACAAGTCCATTGCTTCTTTATATGAGACCTGCAAATTAAGTAATTCTTGAGGCGTAAATACAAAATACAAATGTGGTACGGTTTTTCATAACATACTACTCAAGCAAACCATGTGGAGGAAAGTACATGAGTTAATATTTGTGGGATTCCATCCTAAATGTGAGGTATAGCTAGTCCGTGATTTTATATAGGGGTGTTTGGATTTGATTCTGTTTCTTTTTCAAAGCAAAAGCACAATCAAAATCAGTTTTCAAAAGCTGGTACCCCCAACTTCTAAAAAAATTGATTCTGTGAGTAAATTAGAGCATCAGAAGTGCTTCTGGAATTTCACTCAAACACTCAAGCTTCTGCTTCTGCTCCTTGAAGGAGCAGAATCAGTTTTGAGAATCAGATCCAAACACCCCCACAGTATTTTATTATTTCATATTCATTGAAATGGGAAAATACTTAAGCACTCTGTCTCATTAACTCATTATCACAATCAATTTGACTTTCATATCATTATGTGCCTGACTGTCTGAGGAATACTTCAATGAAATGTAACTACTGTTATTATAAATCACTACAGTAATTAAATTGGAGTTACTAGCTGTTATGGTCACTTCAAAAATCACAATTTTATCTTAACCTTTATTTAAGCAGGATGGTCATAATTTCATTCTAAAATGTTGTAATTAGGATGGCTACCAAACTAGAATTCCTAAGTTTCTCCTGCATCCAATGGATAAACTAAATACGTGATCCATTGATGAAAATTCGAAAACACGGGTCTAATAGGTTGACAAATGTGCTGCTTATCCGAAATTTCATGTATTTAAAACTAGTTATTGTCCATTAGTTTTTTCTAGTAACAAAAATGGGGTTAAAGATATTCATGTAATGCCGCCTGATTTGATTTTAAGCCAATTGGCTAACCATTGTTTACATTAACTAATGGAATTGGCACTTTTTATGTAAAAAAAAGTAACAAAAATGGGGTTTAGGATTAACATATGGCAAAGTTACCGAAATAGGACTAAAACAGTTTGATAATTTCAAAATAGGACTACCATGTTTTTTATTCCCAAAATAGGAGTAATTACTGTCAAGTTTGAAGTCTGGTATTGCCAAAACATGACAGTAATTAGTCCTATTTGGGGAATAAAAACATGACAGTCCTATTTTGGAATTTTCAAACTTGTTTAGTCCTATTTCGGGTAATATCTCTTAACATATTAGTGTTGCACACACATTCTAATTTGATCTTCATTACTGCTCCGTACATATGGAGTATTATAAATTTCTATTTAACACACTCCGTATATGAATCCAATTGACATGATGACCCGTAGATGATGATCGAGTGAGTACATTAGATGTGAATCTAGTCTAGTGTATAATGAATGATGGATACTTCGGAACCGAATTAGGGCACTCGGCTGAACTGATACAAAAAATATTTATAAAAAAAAGTTATACATAATTTTTGACACTAAAATATACTTCGTACGTAGTATGAACATTTTTTAAATTTGAGCTAGACCGGGCATGGTTGCCCCGCAGCTACGCCCCGGCATCGGGTGGTGGATAGAGTGCCACTCAATCGAAACGCGGATCATTGGCGTCCAAAATCAAACTAGTGGAAGAAGGAAACATACCCATAGGCGTCTACGCATATTTTCCTCGGGCCAATGGTCCATCTCATCGGTCACAAACAATGGCAGCATGAACCCTTCATGAAATGTGCCTTTGCTTTTGCTCTTAAAGTACCATGATCCTAGACAATTCTGCAATTCCATTTATTATACGAAGTATTAAGCACATGCATCAATTATTATTATTATTATTATTATTATTATTATTATTATTAGTACTACTACTAAGTGTATAATACTCCGTAAAATAATAATAACTGAACAAAAAGAATAAGACAGACAGATTGGTTGAAGAAAGGAAATTTCTAATTAAGACGTGCATGGTGCATATGTGTTTGTGTGGTTTTTACATTATACTCCCTAGTCCCGAAGTCCCGTTGTTAAGTTCCATTTTGAGTTTTTGACTTCTTAGTCAAAACTTTTTTAACTGGACTATTAATTATCCAAAATTATAGTACTTCGTAGGAAATATTACGAGTAGTTTATAACGCGAAAATATTTGGAATACATAATCTTATACGGAGTATATACTACGGAGTACGGAGTATAAAAATGCTAATTTGCAATAGATTTGAGTCATTTGATAAGTGATATTCCAAATATCAACTGTCAAAACTTTATTATGAGGATAATGAAAGTCAAAATGTAAGTTTGAGGGAATATTCACAAAATAAAAGTAAAAAATATGCTCCATTTCAAAATATAATACTTACCCTAAGTAAGAGTACATTCACTATAAAAATGGGATTAACATATATTTGACACGAATAAAATGAGATTAGCACAGATTTGACACGGATTAATAGACGGTTCTTGGCAAATAGCTCGAGACAGAATAGACTTGGCACATATATGACGTATCCGTGCCAAATCCTCTATGTATTTTGGATAATCGTTGCTGAAAATCCATGTTAATTATATTATTATTTTTTGTGGTTGTTGTCATCCTGAAAATTTTGCTTTCGAATTTGTGGCATAAAGAGACTTTAGATATGACATTAATTACTCTTAATTTAGGGAATAAATAAATTTTTACTCATCTTTAATTTAGGATAAAGTCAACTTTAATTAGGGGAATGAGGAAATACTTAAATAAGAAAGGAGAAAAAAGAGTAGAAAAAGGACAAGATCAATATGTACTAACCCCAATATTTCCCCAAACCCCGGCTTCCTCAAAGGTCTCTCTGTGAGCTGCTTCTTCCAATGATTCATCTTCTTCCCAACCACCCTACATTCCATTATATTCCATATCTCTATCAGAATCACATCCCATTTCTTTGCAACATAAACTCATTCACTAAAAACCATACAATTCAACTTAAAGATTGTCTCATGTACCTTTGGGAACATCATTCTAGGGCATCTCTGAGAGCTGACCAGAAGAAACTCCAAATCATCTATTGCTTTCGTCCCACAAATGGGTTGATTTGCTTTTCTGTATCTGTACGGAATGCAGCTGCATGATATATGTTCAAATCAATTAATAATCCTTTGAATAAACTATTTCAAAAAAATCCTTGGAAAAAACTAAAATCCATCTAGTAGTGCTTATTAGTTACAATGAGATGGAAAATTATGTTCCTGCACATTTTTGTACACGCCCTCTATTTTGTGCGTAGACACAAGTGATTCTAAAAAACGTAAAAAGTGTTTGTGTAGGACATCTAGAGCGTGTAAATGAGTATTTACACCAAAAGCGTGGACATCAAGATCGATCCTTAAAATATCACCTTTCCACTAGCATTGTGACATGAGGGGTAACAAGAATGTTAAGAAAACTGAGTTTATGTAAATGATATTGAATTAATAGAGTAATAATAAAGTAAAATTGATATAGAGCCACACAAGCTTTAGCAAGTTTGGTATGGAACAATCTAAATGGGATTTCTAGAAAAGAAAAAATGGGACAGTTGTAGAGGAATGGGGGTGTATATGCTAAAACTCAAGGTTCTATCTGTCAATACGAGTAACCCATACTGTCTTATTTCATATTTTACTAGTGCAAGGTAAATATATAATCTATACTCAATAGTACCATTTTTGAGAAACCAAGAAAAAGGAAAATATCTAAAGGTTTAATTAGCTAGAGAAGAACATACATACCCAACTACTTGGCGACAGCCATCGGCGTTATACCTCTGCAGATCCCTCCCAGTACGAGAAAGCATAGAAACAACCTTCTCCACTTCCATATTGGATTGAGTTGATCGATTTAATTATTTCCCCTCTTCTTCTATAGTTCCAAGAGTATATATAATTAATGAACTTATTATATGAAAACCCTATATTCTTGAAAGAGATTTGACATAAAAAAGGGGGGATTACATCAAATAATATATAGACCCCTCGAGAGATGAAATGAAGGTACCCACTGCCCTCCTCACCAGTCAGCTTTGTCTTTTGTGTATGGAGCATTATATAACTCATCTTGGAGCTAAGGCTTTGGATAATGCTTTTAAATATTATTATACATAGTATATTTATATATTATGATTACTACTATCTACTATCGTATTTGACAATCAATGATTAATAATTAATGCCAAGTACTTCATACTTTTTTTATTTATTTCTTCCTCCACGACTTTGGAGATTAAGATGGAATGGCAGTGAATTATTCTGAGGTGATATGTGAGAGGGACAGAGATAAATTGATCATTTTATTGGGGTGTAGGGAAACAAAAAAAGTAGAGAGATAAAAATAAATTGTAGATCTAGGTCCATGATAAGGTATACGAGTATCAATTAAGAGTTGTGCATAGTGTACATGTTTTATATGTACACTTTTGACATACTTGTCTATTTAAGCAGAAAGAGTTGTATAACTCTATTTGGACCTACAAAGTTGTCCTCACTTTGAAGATGTTGTGAACCAGGCCTGGACTCGGTCCGGTCCGGGTCCGGGTCAGGCCTAGGTCCGGGCGGGCCGGCGGTTCAGAATTGGTGGACCCGGGACCGGCCCGGGTAACCACCGGGTCCGGGCCGAGCCTCCGGTTTTTTTTTTTTTTTTTTTTTTTTTGCTTTCCTAACCCACCCCCACCCCCCAAACCCCTCCTAACCATCAAGCTCAACCCGGGTGGAACCCCAAAAAATGCAAAAAAACAAAAAGAAAAAAAAAATCAATTTGGCCCGGACCCGGGCCCGACCCGGCCGGGCCGGTTCGCCAAATGTAAGACCCGAGCCCGGACCCCCCGGGCCTACCCCCGACACGGACCCGGACCCGGACCCGCACAGTAGTGGGCCGGGCCGGGCCGGTCCACGGGCCGGGTGGCCCGACCCGAATCCACCCCTGTGAGCATAAAAGTAAAATAAAACATGTCAATCAATTAGGATTTAGGAAAGTGAAATACTACGTAAGTACTAAAATCAACGTTTTAGAAAAGGGTAACAAAAAATTAAAAATAAAGATCGATGACGATAATAATTACTGGCTGTCATTTTATAGGAACAAAACGTCATTGATCGGGTCATTTTCTCGTATAATACAACAAATCAGAGGCTCACTGTTCTTCAAAAATAGACATCATCAATTCTCGATTATTAGACAACAGTGTGGATTGAACAATAGAACACTACTGGAATAACAAGAAAAGAAAGAGCTTATTATTTACTTATTGTTCGGTGTTCTGTTTTTTGTTCTCCCTTCTCCAGTTTTCTGTTTTCATTTTACAATACTTAAAGGCATTTTCAAAGTACTTATACACTTGATGCACGGTATCACCGCGTATTTCCTTTTTAATTATTTGTTTGGATTTGATAGGAGTTGGGAAGTGTTAAGACCCGGGATTCCATCCTAAAAAGTCAACCTATTAGAAGGAGTAGCTCAGATCTTAATATAGTGTTTAATTCTTTCAAAGATATCCGATGTGAGACTTTAACACTCCTCCTGACGATCAGACACTTCGTCTGGATCGTGTTGTCATTCATTTTTCATCGGATCGTCATTGTCCTTTTTTATCGTATCGTCATTTTTCATAAGGGGCCCCACACCATGGATCGACCTGGCTCTGATACCATGTTAAGACCCGGGGTTCCATCCTAAGAGGTCAACCTATTAGAAGGAGTGGCTCAGATCTCAATATAATGTTTAATTCTTTTAGAGATATCCGGTGTGAGACTTTAACAGGAAGAAATTAATTAATTGTTACCGCCTGGTTGTGGATCGTGGATCGGATCGTACAGGGACGGTCGGGTCATTGATCGGATCGGACATGGACCACCAAGTTGTGGGCTGGATCAGAAAGGGTCGTGGGGTTGTGGACCAGACTGGACAGGGACCTTCGGGTCTTGGACTGGACCGGACAAGGACGATCGGGTCGTGGACTAGACCAGACAGGGACTGTACGATTGGACTGGGATCGTCGGGTCTTCGATCAGACTGGACCAGGATTTGCTCGGCCATCGACCTGATCGGACAGGTATCGTCAGGTCAATGACCGAACCGAGCCACTGGGTCGTTGACCGAACCAAATAGGGACCATAAGGTCGTTGACCGAAATGGAACCGACACCGGAGCGGGACCGGGATGGAACCGACACCAGAACGGGACCGGATCTATCATTAGGCGTAAGTATACAAATTCATTGCCACGGCACTGTACCATCCGCATTTTCCAAATTCGGAAAACTAGTAAAAGTTACTTCTCCAAATCATTAAGGAAAAGAGAGACATGTCTCATTTTTTCATTTTGGAAAACGATTTGGTAAACACATTTTTCTGTTTTTGTTTCTCCAGTTTTCCAGCAATTTTCTTTGATAAACACGAAACATGTTTCATGTTTTCCAGTTTTCCAGTTTTCGGGAAAACTGAAAAATATCTTTGTTAGTAAACAAAGAATTCGGATAAGCAATTCGGCTTTAAGTTTTTACAGCCCTACGTATTTAAGTTTTTTTTGGAAGAATTCGGTTTATATTGATAACACATAATTCAGAGTATGGGTAAAACGACAAAAAGGAATGTGACAACTGTCGTCCCGCGAACCAGGCTCAGAATTAATCACCTCCGGAGAAGCAATATAATTCGTTAATCCATAAATGGGAGCACCAAAGCCAAAAACGGTTATCGTATTCCTCTCATCCCCCACATCCAAATTCAACGTCTTACGAACAAGAACAATAAAGAAAAAACAAATAACAAAACACTGAAAAAACAAATAAAACAAAAAAGATAAGGGCTGGTTTGCAACAGCTTTAAAAAAACACTTCTCAGCTTTTGGTTTTAAAAAGCACTTATTTACCAAACACTACCAATTTTTTACTTTTCTCGACTTTCGTGTCAAAAGTGCTTTTCCCTTTTTTATACTCCAAAAGCACTTATTTTACCAAACACTGTCAACTTTTACTTTTCAAAATCACTTTTTTCTCAAACACTATCAACTTTTACAACTAATCACTTTTTCCAAGTCACCCCAAAAGTGCTTTTTTTAAAGCAGAAGTTGTTGCAAACACTCCCTGAGTCTTCTTCCAAACCCTAGATTTGCTTGCACTCCATGGCGGCGGCTCGGGAGGGGGACACGCCCGCCGTTCATCAGCCACAACCTCAACATCAGCTTCATCTATATCCAATTCTTCCTCATCTGCCCCATTCGCCATCTTCTTGTTTTGTCCACGAAGCTATCCATGCAAAACTGTTGCTCTAACCTTCTGCCAGAAACTCCGAACCTTCTCAATGTCGAGACCGAACACCTCGGGCACAATCAAAGCAACCAACGAATGTCTTGCTTGAATCAACCAAGACAGATCCCCAACGATTAGGTCAATGACCCCAATCCCAAAAAAGAAACAAAAAACGATCCGTTATGCTGAGGTCAGCAACTAACAGACGCACAATCCAAACTCACACCACGACCAAACAATCGTCGCCGGACAAACGCCCCTAGAAAAACCCTAGGAGGCGGCACATACTCCGTCTCTTTCTTAAGTTAGATACTTGATAAGTCCGTATTTTGAAACGCATTTGATGCATGTTGGGATCGTCTTTTGATGGTTTTCCTAGATTTAAGGTGTTGCAAGTCTCAATTTTAGCTCAAGTTATGTTTGTCAGGCGTTGGTTCGAGTTTTGTGTCATTTGGAGTCAAAATCAGGGAATTTGAGCCCGACACCGACGTTTGAGGAGAAACCGGGACGAGTTGAGAAGAATTCAAGAGTGATTTGAGAGCTTTAGAAGTCACCGGGAGGTTTACGATGAAGATTTGATGACAAAAGAGCTATAGGATTGACTACGGGATAAAAAGAAGACGAATAGAGCTGGAAAACGGTGATCAGGATGACCTTATGTCAATCGTTCAAGCATATCGCTTTGTAGAAGCATCAAAAGGACACGATTCAAGTTGCATATGAAAGCCAACTTCAAGGGCTACAAATCATGTGAAGACATCATTCCAAGAATCTGAGAGAAGCAAGGTGAAAACAGACGATGAAGTCAGATGATCTCTGTTACGATTTCAGAATGACACCTTCCACCATTTTATTAATATCTCTTGATTGGATGATTCAAATCCAATTCGGCAAGTTGGGGTGGATAGAGGACGTCATTATCTACAACTTTCATGAAGTAAGTTTTGTCAAATTCGGAAGTTTGATGTATGTTGTGCGTAGGGGAACGCACGATCGTGTGTCCGAGGCGAGAAAGCAAGAGAGCCACTGCCATGTACGCACGATTGTGCGGATTTCAGCCTAGCACTAGCACAAATGCCGAAGCATTTCGTGGATGTACTAGCACAAATCTCGAAGTACGCGAAGTTCATGAAGGATCTGCTTACTAACAAAAGGAAGTTGGAGGAAGCATCTACTGTGAGGCTTAACGTGGACTGCTCAGCTGTTATTAAGAGAGATCTACCAGAGAAGCTTAAGGATCCAGGTTCTTTCACTATACCTTGCTTAATAGAAGATCTTACTTTTGATAAGGCCTTAGCCAATTTGGGTGCAAGCATTAATTTGATGTCATTTACTTTGTATGAAAAGCTTGCACTCGGTCCACTAAAATCTACATGTATGTGCATTCAGTTGGCTGACCGTTCAGTCAAATATCCTAAAGGGATTGTTGAAGACGTGTTGGTTAAAGTAGACAAATTTATTATTCCCGTAGACTTCGTTATTTTGGACATGGATCAGGATCGTGAGGTACCTATAATTTTGGGCAGACCATTCTTGGCAACTGCCCAAGCACTTATTGATGTTGGGGACGATAAGCTTGTCCTCCGCGTTGGGGGTGAGACTGCCACATTTAATATATCCAAGATAATGAAGAGGCCCTATCAGGATAATGGAGAGTGTTTTTATATGGATGTCATAGATTCTATGGTGGAGGATTGCACACCTAACATGCTTTCTGATGAAGCCTTCTTTGATCTTTCGTTGGATGATAGTTTGTCAGCAGAGGATCTTGAGCTCCTCCCTAGTTTT